GTCTGGGAAATATTACCAAACAGGTGATGCTTTACTCAAAGTAGATGGGTGCTAACTATGTATTTTGCAGAGACGTTTGCAGTCACACCAAAATATATCAGATCACTGTCATGTGACCACACTAACCGTGTACATTACTGGCTGCATACAGAGTTCCCTCCAGTTAGGCCCAGGCCAGCAGGGTCTTCCTTCCAGCATTTTAGACTTTCTACCAGACTGCCTTGTCTATGCACTTTGTTTCAGGTGGGGCAGTCCTCTCATAGGTATGGCAGTCCTCATTCCAGCTTAGTGCATGTGGCGTGTAAATTGCAATTATTCTCTACCACAGTGTCCCATCTGCAAGCATGTGTACAAAGCTGTGTAATAAAACACCTACACTGACATTGAGAAAGCTTCACTGGCCTGAAAACAGGGGAAGCGAATTTTGGCATCCAACAGGATAAATAATAATATAACTAGTGACTGAAAAATTCATGTTACATTCACACCACTGTGCGATGGATGCAGCCACTACCAAAGTATGCATCACAATTAAATATGCTGGCAGGCAGAATGCAGTTATAGGAGGAAACCTAAAGGATACGTTCACCTTTTGCTAAAAAAAAATAAAAGCAAATTTTTTTGCAGGTAAAAAAAAAAAAAAATGTGCATTGATTATTTTTTGTTTCAGGAGCCTGTAAACCATTGCACCAGCAACCAGCTATTCACTGGTACCATGCAGAGGCAGACTAACAACTCATGGGGCCCCCGGGCAATAGGGGATCATGGGGCCCACGTCCTCACCCATACTCCAACTACACTCAAAAAAGCCTATGAAAGGTACCAGGGGCATCTCATGGGGCCCCCTACTGACCCCGGGCCCTCGGGCAGTGCCCGAGTTTACAAATGGTCAGTCCGCCCCTGGTACCATGCAACGTCTCCTGCAGACCTGTCAGTATATCTGCTTGCCCATACGGGATGTACGATCAAGCAGATATAATGACAGGAAAAATCAAACTACCGTGGTGCTGCACAGTGCCGTAGTAGTTCATTGAGAACTACAAGCCGACAGCAGTTAAGGCTGTCAGGACTTTTAGTTTCTCATTCACAGAGGACTGAGAATGAGTGACGAAGATGGGCAGGCAAAGGCCATGTATTTTAAAAATTTTGATAGCTAGTGGGAGAAGATCCCCCATTAGCTGTCAAAGCAGGGAATTGGGGCCTGGTCTATTCATAACATGCCATATGTTGCACCCTTAATATGTGTGTAGCATGTAACATGTTATGAAAGGTGAACTTATCCTTTCAAGCTGAACTTTGGGGTAAGCAAATCTCCTCTAAATACAAGAAGCACATGTGCTCTTACCATACTCCTGGTGTTCTTTGTGAATTTCTTCCATGTCTGTGCAGTAATCCAGTGTGAAACTTTGCCTATATGCAGGAGATTCCTGTATTAAAGGCCTGTTACTGCTGCTTTTTCACCTTGTGCAGTGTGACTGGTCTTGTATCCACCCCCATCTATAGTATAGTACAGGTGGAGCCTACTAAGTCCCTCCCACAACTTTGCTCTCCGCACAGGCTAAAAACTGCACAATGATGTTCCTGCTACTTTTTTGCAAGGTAATAGCTGGGTTTGTAAAGGCATTCTGTGCATATAAATTTGATTTGTATTCTTTATGACTATATATTTTAGCTTTAAAGTGTTACTAAACCCACAACAGTAAAATCAGTCTGTATATGCAGTAAAGCATGCTTGTTATATTCACTGTGGAATCTAAGGGGTTAATCCTCTGCATTGTGTAAAAAAGCCGTTTGGTCCCGATTTGCCCCCTCTTGTTAAAATGTCCATCTGATAAGACAGACTGAACCCGTAGCCACATGCACATGCTCAGTTTAGTGTGTAGTGCTAGAGAGGTGTTTTTTTTTTTCCTTGGGAGAGTGCATGTGATCATCACAGGGCCAATCAGCACTGCCCAGACAGAGGTCAGGGGTTCTGTACCCTCCTAGAGTTGAAAGAAAACTGCTCCTACAAGCTTCAACCAGTGCTCTGCTGAAGTCACAAGACTGCTCTAACTGCTGATGAGAAAAGGTATTTAGCAGTTTATATTTACTAAAATCATTGCCCTTCCATGTTCTGTGTACCGTGGGAGACCAGATATAGTGACTGCAGGGTCCGGGGTTAACACTTTAACACTCTAATCCTACACAAAAAACATAAGCAGCAGGAACTGCCTGATTGAAAGGGGAAAGCGTTACATTCCTTCAGACATTATAAATGACGTTTATTACTTATTATGATAATGTTACATCCCTGCTACTTAAAGACATTCATCAAAACTTCCACCATCAACCAACCACACAACCAGCCTATACTCAAACAGTACACCATGATTACACTGCCAATAGAAACCTCACCATCAGCCTTACTTCCACAGTATTTAATTGCACATTCACATATACACAAGACAAACCTTAGCATATTTTGTTACCAAGTATCTACACTAGCCAACTGGATTACCAACAGTATATGTCATCTATATTGGCATATGACCATTTAAACTGCACCTATTCTGATAAAGTACCATTTATATAACTATACCAGAAGAGTGACTACACGGATATCTACAGGAAACTATTTACACTGCACTTAAACTAAAAGGAGTGAAGTCCACCAGCTTTACTACATTCATGCTAAATACAAAACCTTTCACACAGTCTAAATGGTTAGGACTTCCGCCCAGCAGTACTAGCGTTGTTTGTTCAAATCCCAACCACGGCACCACCTGCCTGGAGTTTGCATATATATATATATGTGTGTGGCGTGTGGGGGGGTGTGTGTGAGGGTGTGTGTGAGGAAGTGATTAATATCTGAAATGCTTTCAAGCCTGAAGCAACTTCACAGAGTCAGGAGGAGCCTGGAGGACAGAAAGCAGCTAGTCTCGGCTTTAATTCTGACACCACTTCCAACCCACCTTGCAACAGTAATGGCAGAGACTACAATAAGCCCCTCTATGCAGCTAACCTTCCCTACAGTAATAAAAAGGCTGATTTGTGAAGGCTGATTTATCAAGGCTGATTTATCAAGGCTGATTTATCAAGGCTGATTTTTCAAGGCTGATTTTTCAAGGCTGATTTTTCAAGGCTGATTTTCTCAAGGCTGATTTCTCAAGGCTGATTTCACACAGGAACGCAGAGCAGCCGGAGCGCTTTACCACTTTGGCAGCTCTCTGTTCCTGGCTGTAGTAGGGGGCAGTGTGATGTGTGATTTAGTGCATAGCAGCTTTTTGTTGTTTTGCACAAACTTTATGTGAAGTGAACAAAACGCACGCTTCATTCACAGCAATGTGCGGTGCTACACATTGCCAAACGGTTCGGCATGGTGCGCTGTGATAAAATGCAGCATGTCTGCATTTTAGCGCAGCCCTAGGTTGCTTTGCAGTGCGAACTGGACACAAAGGAAACAATTGTTTCCTGTGTGTCCTTGCAGTGACAGGCATTTCACAATGCAGTAAAACGCCTGTCATGCAGTTTGTGTGAATTCACCCTAAACCTGGAGCCAAGGTTGAGCTACTGACAGATCCCATGGCTTCACCTATTTGCTCCAGGTTCCTGTAAATTGGCCTAATAGCACCTTTATTGGTACAGTGAAACCATACCTGTTTGTGTTTGTTATAACAAAGGAGAACTGGCTGCACCAACTAGCTACTGCCAAGTTCAATGATTATTAGCAAATACGTAGAAAGTTCAATTGTTGAGGAGAAAACTCCAAGCTAAATAAATTATAAAGAAAAAGAATATGAGAAGTGAGTGACATATGAACACCTCTGTGTTTGGACTAGTCATCAGTTTATATGTAAGAGAATCTGTTCGGTTCTTTGGCTATACTAACACTATTAGTGAAGTACAGACTGTTTGAGGTCCCTAAAAGTATCAGTTTATAAACTTTCTAGGAATCCCTGTTCCTAGCTGTTGAGCCTCTGCAATCTAAGGTCAGACTGTATACAGGGCTTTGAACTTTGTTAACGTGACTAAGCCCGGTCCTCTGCCATTCTATATTTTGCTACTTTATGGAGCAGAGGGGCTTAGCAAACAGAGGGTGGGTTAATGCCATCTTGACTAGAAGTGTAATGCAGGCTCCATCGCATCACAAGTGCCTAAAGCTAGCAATATTTGTTTTCTTAGCCGGTCCAAAGAGGCGAAAGGGTTGTTTTAAGGTCCCAAGGCCGTCACATCCCTACCCAGGGTCCTGCAGCAACTGTGCAACGTTCCACATGTCTTAATTGTAAAATCTACTCCCTCATACAATGCAGAAGATGCTGCAGCACCTGAAGGACAACTGATCTTTTCGAAAGAACAGACAAAAGCTTTTACCTCAACCTCACAATTTATAACCTGGAAGTTTTAAACTGTATCCAACTGTTGCCACAATTACTCTTGGTATAGACCAGGGGCCTCCAAACTGCAGCTCCCACAGGCCAGATGTGGCCCTTTCTTGCCTTTATCTGCCCTCTGGGGCGCCATTCCTTTCGCTGGCACCAATGATTGGGCACTATCCCTCCCACTGACAACTCATTTTTTTAAATCCCATTGACCACCAAGCCTTTGGCATTGTTTACCCCCACTGATGCCAGGGCATTTTCTGAGCCCACTGGCCACAGGTGGAGCCCCCTAAAGTTTGGAAGGCAGTAAACGTGCCCTTTCTTTCGAAAGTTTGGAGACCCCTGGTATAGATCATGCATTTTTTCAGCTACCTGCCCACTTGTTTTCCTATCTAACAATCACTGATTCAATGCCACTAGGACTGAATATGACCCGTCTAGTTACCATACCAGGAAGGTGGAAGAGATTACAGTTATAGGACAGACAAAAAGAAACCTTTAAAGGACAGTGTGACCATGAGTTGAAACAGAGGACGGTAATGGGGTGCGGCAAGGAGCGAGCAGTGATGCCGGAGGTGTGAGATGCGGTGATACCCTGAGAGCGTTGCCTCATTGTACCCTTTGCTTCTGGTCTATACACACCAATGGAGGCCACAAAATTCTCTTCCTTCAGACTCCGTGTATCAAACTCTCGTGCCCCCCGGCCCGCGGAGCCCGATGGGCGGGGAAGGAGCTGCTGGGGGGGCAGCTGGGGAGTGGGTCTAGTCTCTCCTCGCTGAATGGTGATAGAATCCCTAGACACGGGTGTCACAGTGCCATCGGCAGAAGGACTGTGCTTCCTTTTCTCAGGTTCTTAAAAGAGAGGAGTGGAAAACATACAAGAAAGGGAGAAGGAGATTGAGGGACAGCGAGGTAGAAATATAAAGACAAGAAGAAATGTAAGGGTACAGCATTAGAAGGGGAACAGCAAAGGGAGGGAAAAAAAGTGAATGTTATTTAGTAGATTGTAAACAAGTGTTAATAGAACAGTCTAGATAACACAAAGCACCTCCAATAAAAAAAATACTACACAAGAACATACTACCCTGCTATTCAGTACAGTCACAGTAGGACATACCTTTATTGTAATAATGAGTGTGAGCAATTTCCAATAAGCTGAAGATACTAGCCATGCCCCCCAGCCCTGCGTTGGCATACGATTGCTCCAGGCTGGACACTGTACACTTCAGCATATCTAGCATGCCCTTGTATACTTTCCTGCTGATTTCCTACAGAAAGACACAGAGAAAAGAATGAACTACTGAAAGGCACCTTGCTATAGCGAATGACACACGGTAATCTGAAGCAAGGGATGTGTCGGACCTCTGCAAAGACACCACTGCTTCCACACAGAAAGCAAGGATCCTTCTCTACAGCATGCTGGCAGAGGACAGGATTTTCTGCTAAGGATGTGGCTGCTTTCTAGGGAAAACCAACTGCAAGACTCTGCACACCTTTTGTTTTGATGGCCTGAAATGTATTTAGCTGACTTAAAGCATAACTAAAGATTCAGTTCTCACCTGTCCAATGGTTCCCTCCCTGGATCCAGTATCTTCTTCCGAGTACTGGTTTTCAGCCTCTTCATTGGCCAGTGGGGAAGGACGTCACTTCTGCGAAATGCACAGAAGCTACTCATCCCAGCACTCAGACCAGCCTGGCACTTGAAGCTGAGCTGCACAAGCACAGCTGAGTTTACAGCACTGGAGGAGAATACAGCAAGTAGACAGGCAGGAGCATTTTACTGCAAAAGAGACTATGTCACTTCCACAATAAAAGCCTGCCTGCTCACCATTTCTTAAAGCAAAACTTCAGTCCTCCTTTAAACTGAAAGTTCATTTGGGTTTTAAAGGTCTATACATAACAGCATTTTATTTTTCCCATATTGTACTCTTAACTTCTACCAAAATGCATTTTTACATGATAAAAGTTTGACATCATGGAAAAAAAAAAAAAAAATGACAAGGTGATGGGAAACTCACCACTTCCTGGATTACATCATTGCGAGCATCCTCTTCTGTCTGTATGGACCTATTTAGTTTGCTCAGAACAAAAACACGCAGCTGCTCACTTTCCAATAGGCGGCGCACTTTTTTCATGTTCAGCCAGCCTACTCCTTGTCCTTCTAGGACACTCATTGCCACCTCCTTCAGAAACTGCTGGTTCTCACTGCAAAAGTAAAACAAAAATAAAAAAATAAAAACAGGAATGGTCAGTCACTGAATACACAAAAATTAAAGTAGAAGGCAAGTAAAAAAACTAACTATACCTAAAGCTACTCCCACCCCCATTCTAAGCCTATTCCATCTACCCTGTAAAAGGGAAGAGGTCTATACATGTGTACTCTGAAGTCGCTCCGGTCCGGTCACATGATCGCGTCCCAGCGCTGGCTTCAGTGAAAAGGGACAGCCGACAACGGATGCCCCATACTAAGCTTATTAGTGGCATAATCGCCCAGTCTGCAGCCTTTTTTGGTGAGGTTTCCTCTTCATTGAAGCCAGCTGTTGGCGAGATCATGTGACAGGAATGACTTCAGAATAGGTAAGTATAGGAATCTTTCCTTTTACAGGGTAGATAGAAGAGGCTTAGAATAGGGGGGGTGGGAGTAGGTTTAGGCTTAGTTAGGTTTTCACTTGCCTTCCACTTTAAAGTGGAGTTCCACCTGAAAAAAAAAAAAAAATAAATAAATAAAAAAAGTCAGCAGCTACAAAAATTGTAGCTTCTGTTTTTTTAAAATACAGACACTTACCTGTCCCTCAGTCCAACGGTGTCCTCACCACGGCTGGTTTCACCAGCCGTCTTCTCTCCCTGGCACTGGCATCTTCAAAGTGGGCAGCCGGCTGTGACAGCTTGTGGCTTCACAGCCGGGTGCACACTGCGCATGCATGAGTAGCGCTGTGCTTTGTGAATGGCCCCGTAGTCTTCTGGGGCCTGTCACGTGTTCCAGAGGACTACGGGGAGGGAGGACAACTCCCGTTTCTGATTGCCTAGGGCCCTAGGCGATTGCAGTGGAAGTGGGAGCGGGTACCTGTCAAATTTGGGTACCCGCTTCCCCAAGGTGTGAATCCTTAATGGAGACCGGGGGACAAAGGCTTTAAGAGGAACTTTCCCTTTTGGGTGGAGCTCCACTTTAAGTGTCACGGTTGTACATTTCAGAGGGTAAGACCTGTAAATAAAAAAATTACATCTGACAAGTGGAAATGTGTGGCAGGTCTCACCAAAATGCCATGCTGTTTACAACCTGCTAGAGGGGCACAACTCTCCTTGGAAGGAACAGTTCTCGCTTTCAAACAATATATTCCTATTTTGATTGTGCTGACCCAGAGGTGACCTTCTAACCTGATTTAGGCTAAATTCACATGGGCGGGCAGGGAAGGAGGAAAGTAGGAGGTCTTGTGAGAAGCGAAGAGTACGGGTTGGGTGGTATTTGGGTATCAGGTCGGTGAGGTAGTTTGGGGCAGCGTTATGAATGGCTTTGTACGTCAGTGTTAGTAGTTTATAATTTTATACGTTGGGCAATCGGAAGCCAGTGGAGGGAATGACAGAGGGGGGTGGCAGAAGCGGAGTGGTTGGTAAGGTGGATAAGTCTGGCCGCTGAGTTCAGGATAGACTGAAGCGGTGATAGCGTGTGTTGGGGTAGGCCGGTGAGGAGGGAGTTGCAGTAGTCCAGACGTGTGATAATAAGGGCGTGAGCGAGTTGTTTAGTAGTGTCTGGGGTTAGGAACGTACGTATCTTGAAGGTGTTGCAAAGGTGGAGCCTGCATGAGTTTGCCAGTGATTGGACATGGGGTTGGAAGGACAGGCTTGAGTCTAGAGCAACACCTAGGACTTTGGCTTGCGGGGGGGTGGGACTGATGGTGGCGTTGTTGGTCGTGATGGAGAGAATGGGAGGGTGGGGGGAGGGGGTGCGGGCTGCGGGGGGGGGGGAAAATCACTTGTTTTCTATGTGCCCCATTCTCACTGCAACATAGCCTTCAGGTGTAGTACAGCGGGATGGGATAAAATGCAGACATACTGAATTTTTTTGACAGCAAATAGAAAGGAACTGTGCTGCTGTACGGTTGCATTAATGAAGCATCACTTCATATAACGATGACAAGAAAAAAAAAAAAAGAAAAGGGAAATAGTGTAATGTGCTAACACTTGCATCATACTGCCCACTATCATGCTTCACTGCAGCCCAAAACAGATAGCTGCTGGCACGCCAAAACAGAGCATTTAGCATGCAAGCAATGTGAATGGACGCTAAATGGCCACAGTGTTGCCTCTACTTTTTTTAGTCTGAGCGTTGCTGTAGAGAACATTTTAAGAGGTGGCTATCAGGCCAGGTTAAGGTGCTGCCAGATAATCAGAGGAACAAGAGCTATAGGGACAGTTTTTTCAACCTTTGTTGCTCATTTTACCCAACAGCAGACGGCACGGACATATGTGTTGACAATTGAAAGTAGGTAGGTGGTCTTTTTCCTGTTCCTTGGGGGCCCCCTCAAGATACCAACGGTCACACCTGGACACAGCTACGAGATCTCGGAAAGTGAATGCACTCAAATCACCTCAGTTGCGATTGCAAACTCTTCAGTTTTATTGGCATAACATCAGGGTTATTATACTGTAGTCTTTAGGCAAACACACCCTCAGACCTTCCAATCAAATACGTGTACATTGTTTTACCTTAACTCAACAATTATTTGTATGAGGTTTGCATTTTCACTCTTCTGCTTTATCTATCATACCATATCTGCTCTATCGCCCAGACCATGGCTGTAATCTGACCTAACACCCAAGTTGTGGTTAAAACTTTTCAGAAGTGAGAGTAAACCTTATCTGCTTTTTTGTACGGTTTGCAAAAACACTCATTTCTACATGAAGCTGACAGACAGTTTTGTTAGTGTGCACATATCTCATATATGTATATTAAACTAGCATCTTGTATTAGTGTATACAAAATGGATTCAGTTATATTCCATTTAATCCTTTCAACAATGTCACCCAATCTAGCTGAAAAATTCTCTATAAAGAGACACTCTGATCACTTTTTATAACTGTCTACTTTTACAAAAAGTTTACATTAGCAAAAAGAATTACAGTTTCTCTCTTGCCACTTAAAATAACTACCTTATTTCTATAATAAGATCAGTACACACTTGTCAGCCACTGACAGAACGCTTTGGCATAACAGTTATCACTTGCATATTGTTGCTTTTTATATCCTTTTCTATATTATTTTAATGACAAAATAGTTTCGCAATAAAAGAAAGTATAGTCCTACCTGGAATTGTTCGCTCTACCCTGTGGGGAAGGAGATTCCCGCTTTACTGTAGGGCTGTGTTTTATAACTGAGGATTTCTGGTCTACCAAAGCACGCCTGGTGCTGGCTGCAAGGGAAGAAATGAAGATGGAAAATTACACAGACATTCAACAATATAAAACCGAAGTGACAAAAATCTAGAGAATGAAAGTGAAAAAAGGTACAGCATAGGAAAAAAGAACTAAGAGGTGAATTTAAAAATCCAGATTATTTATCTTTTCCATGAACAGACAGTATTCCTTGTCTATCAAAGATCCTGAAACAACTGTCTGTGTTGCCCCATGACACCTATGAAGAATTTTCAGTGCACGTGGCCAATTTGTACAGTGGCTGCATTCACTACATATAGTTTGCTTGTACAGTGTGCTCCCAATACATGGAGTAAGTCACGTCTTGCTGCTCTCTAAAGTAGAATGTAAACTGCCCTCCAAAACCTGCAGAAAGCCTTATGCAGGCCATAGACGGGCCGGTTATTGGCTTAATTGTTGGCCGATAAACAAAAAAAAAAAAAAAAAAAAAAAACAGTCGGTGCCATTGCCGATGCCGCCACCAATGTCCACAAAAAACGTCAGTTTTTCGTGGATTTTCCAGCATGACCGATAAAAATAAATGAGAAGATCCACAAAAAACAGCCGACGGGCTGGCCCCACTAACGGCGTGAATATCGACCGATTTTTTTGTGCGGACAAAAATTCGGCCGATAAACGACCCGTCTATGGCCTGCATAATCCATGGTGACAATCATCTTTATTTTCACAATATAGCTGTAGTGGTGTTGTTGATCCTTTCAAAGTCTTGTGAACCGATAACGTCCTCTGCTTTGCGCCTCTATCAGTTAGCATTGTTCCCAGCTATCTCTGGATAACAAAGCCCCTTCCCCACATATTATAGAAAAGGAAAATAGGGAGGAGGGGGCATGTGGCATTCTGTAGTCCTAAAATACTTTGTCGTAGGGTAACCAAGTTTCTCCTAGCGCTGGCATCCTACAACTGGCATAAATTGTCAAGTGAAAAAATAGGGGGGAAAAAAAGTGAGAGTAAACAAATGCAACCTCAATATCTAAGGAATAGTAAGTAATCTGCAGTATTTGAAAATTTTCTTCTTGGGTTTAGAGATGATAGAGATAACCAGGAGTTAAATAGGAAAAATAAAGTGATTCTAAAGAGGTTGTTTTTTTTTTTTTAACCACTTCCTGTCCGGCCCATGTATATAAACGGCTGGACGGTGACAGTGCTGGATCAGGTGGCCGTTTTATAAACGGCCTCCCCGCACCCTGCTTGTGCGTGCTCCCTGGGAGCATGCAGCACTGCGATCCGGTGCCCGCTGTGTCCTCCGACACAGTGGAATAACAATCGTCAGCCGGGACCTCTGTGCGAGGTCCCAATCATGTGATCACTGATTGGCCAATCAGTGATCACATGCAGAGTAGTAAGCAAGATGTCACTTCTGACATCATTGCTTACGTGTGAAATCTGTGAATGACCAATCACAGCTCACACAGTAGTTCTCAATGGCTGCAAGAATGCAGCCAGAGAGAAGGAGAAATGATTGCTTTTACAGCCTTTATGGGTGTAAAACCAATCAGTGAAAAAAAAAAAAAATCTTCATCACCCCCCACAAGTAGTACAGTGCCACCATGCTAGGGTGACAGTATAATAAAAAAAATATATATATATATATATATATATATATATATATATATATATATATATATATATATATATATATAGTTTAAAAATAATACATTTTTGTTCATAAACTAATTTGGGTTTTTTTTTTTTTACTAAAAAAATAACGGAATAAATTTTGGACAAGATTTATGATGAAATACTATTTGCTAAATTTTATAAGAAAAAAAACTTTCAGCGTTTTTGGACATTTTCATTTACATAGCAAAAAAAATAAAAATTCCAGTGGTGAATAAATACCACCAAAATAAAGCTTTAGCTGTCTCGAACAAATGCTAAAAAATTCATATGGGTACAGTGTTGCATGCCCGCGCAATTGTCAAAGTGTGATAGTGCTGAAAGCTGAAAATTGGCCTGGACAGGAAGGGGGTAAAAGTGTCTGGACTGGAAGTGGTTAAATAACAAACATGTTATGCTTACCTGCTCTGTGTAATGGTTTTGCACAGAGCAGCCCTGATCCTCTTTTTGGGTCCCCCGGTGGCAATCCTGGACATTGTCCATTCACACACATACCGCACGGCTCGGCCCCATTCCCCACTGTCTCCCCATTGGGTTACTGGCTGTGATTGACAGCAGCAGGAGAGAATGGCTCCTGCTGCTGTGTGAGCCAATGAAGAGAGAGATCCAGGAGAGCCGCTGCTTTCATGCACAATCGCTGGATTGAGATGGGGCTCAGGTAAGTAAAAGGGGGAGACTTGGGGGGGGGGGGGGGTGTGCTACACTCAGTTGTTTTATTTTTTTCCCTTAATGCATAGAATGCATCAAGGCAAAAAACCTTCTGCCTTTAAACAAAATTTTGCTTTCAGCTTTGCGTCAGTAATTATCTATAAAAAAAAAAAAGATAGGTAGTTCGCATAGCTGCTCCTGACAGCCACAGCTCACTACAGTGTGTTCATTTTTGTTTATATTTTAAAGTAGTATTCCGGGACATAGCTAATATTAAAACTGCTGCCTCCTACCTTCTAACATTTATGCTAACTCACCTATGGAAGAAAGATCTGTATACTTACCTATTTTCAGGCCATTCTGGTCATGTGATTTCACTCCTCAGTGTTAGCTAGCGGCAGCTTCATGGGAGAAGAGGAACCGCCAACAATGGATGGGCCAGATGGGCCAGAGTAAGCCTATGGGCAACATTACTGCTAAAGTATTAAGGACGTTGTCAAACACTCTCTACTCTCCCCTGCAGCACACGCTGCCTGATACGGGAGATCATGTAACCAGACTGGAGTGGCCTGAAAAATCAGATATACAGATTCTTCTTCCACAGGTTAATTATTACAGGCCTTGGGGGGAGGGGGCAGTTTTAAGATTATATAAGAGATCCTGAAATTCTCCTTTAACAAGCACTGGCTGAAATGCCTGTTACAACCAATTAGTGTTGAAAAAAAAATGCTGACACCCACTCTACTAAAGGGATTAAATCCTCAGCTGTTAAACCAGCAATAGGCTGCAGCAGCTAAACCCATGGGTTTATGCCCAGCCAGGAAAGATTAACTAGTTAAAGCAGAACTAGACCGCTGCTGAAAGAATGGCCTCCCCCCGTCCCTCCATCTTAAAAGCTCTGGCACATGTGCATTTGCACCTCCGGTGTCTTCCAGGTATCTGGAACCTTGCAGAGCCCAGCAGCACAAATGTCCACACATGGCAGGATTTCTGCACATGAGCACACATGCTTTATCATAGGTGGTTTATTCTGACAAACACACTAACTTGAGCTGGTGTCATGCTGTGAAATAAAGTACTCTCAATTCTTACTCCCAACAGTTGCCAGGATGCGGTTAGGATTTGCATTTTCCCTTTCATACTGTCAGAATGAAAGAAAGCTTTAGGTTACTATGGGCAACACTGACAGTTCTTTCTTCACACATTGTGATCAGTGAGCCCCACTGAGTTGTGGCCAATTTCAAATTCACCACTCAGAACCAAAATATTAAAAAGTAGGAGCAAAAAGGGTAGAAAGAACATGGGTGGGGGATTATCCCGGCTACCCATGACCTGCAAGAAACATGGACGCCTGATAATGCGGTCACATGACTAGAGGGACGTGACCAAAAACTATAAAACGACCACAACAAGTGAAGATCACAAGGCACGGTGTGTGTGAGAAATGGTGACCAAAGAGAAGCACAAAATGGTAGGATGGTAGAGAGGATGTTAGGAGTGGAATCACATGCAGAACTCATTCTACAGGCACCCACCTTCTGCAGGGGCGGGACCGGAGTCTGCAATAATCTCCATTATAGTATTTAGCCCAAATACTGGGACGAAAAATGCAAGGTTAGTGGCAACCAATCAAATCAGTCAAACAGCTGAATCCCTAAAAAGATTAATTTCCTACAGGGATTTTTTTCTAACACAGAATAGCTGGTTCTGCAGAGATAACTACAGGATAGACAGCAACAACATAACAGGAAGATGCGCTAGACACATCAATGCAAGCCCTGTAATAATCTGTAGGAGGACTCATTACCCCGATACTTGAGTTACTGAAACTAAAATGTCCTCAATATTTATCACTACAAACCCCAGGGCTGGACAAACCTCACAAGGCACGTTGGTAGGGAACCTACAAACATTTCCATGGTGCTTACTTCCCTAAACCAAAACATGCTCACTGGTTCCCCAAATATGTCGCTTAGCTCCTAACCTGGAGTACACTGTGCCTGAATTTGTGCCCCCAAACACAATATATAGCCAGATTTGTGGAAACCTGACCAAGCACCTATATGAGCTTGTTGCACAATCCATTCCAAAATCACAGGCATTAATATGAAATTGGCCTTCTTTTGTAGCTATAAAAGACCTCCAAACTTCAAGGAAGGCTTTCCACAACATTTAGGTTGTGTCTGGGGGGAACATGTGCCTATTCAGCCAAAAAAAAAAAAAACCTTTGTGAGGTCAGGTATTGATGTTGGATGAGAAGACCTAGCCTACAATTGGCATTCTAGTGCAGTAGTGTTGGGGGTCAGAACTCTGTGCAGGCCACTTGAGTTCCTCCACGCAAACTTCATCAAATCACATCTTTATGGAGCTGGCTTAATGCACAGAGGCGCATTCAGGATGAAACAGAAAAATGCCTTCTACAAAGTGTTGCCATGAGATTGGAAATGCAGAATTGTCTAAAATGTCTTTGTATGCTAAAGCCCATCAGCTAAGACGGATGTCTCTGTGCTTTAATTCGTGCAACAGGGCTGGAAATGTGCTCTCAAAAAAGCTCATAAAATCTGAGATGGTCAGGGGTCCAGAAATGTTGGCCATATAGTATACCTCCCATCTAGACATCTCAATATATTTGAGTAGGTGTGGACACTTACTGTTTGGAATTTTAAACCTTATCCTGTAAGGTTAAACGAGGGGGCAGATTCCCAAGTGATGAAATGGCAAATGAGATGGCCAATGGTAATTCTGTACCTACAATACCTGCGTGTGTTTGGAAAACACTGTAACAAGTCCCAGATTATACAAATCAAACCAACGTGAACTTAAATGTTTTTATATATCCACAATGGACAAACTAAAACCAAACAGAATATTTGGGTTTTGTGTAACATTTTTGAGTTTATTATTCGTTCTCCAGTTTTTATAAATAATCCCCATAGGGTACCAATGTCTTTGGACGTTCCCATTGCAATACCAGCTTCTGCTAGTAGGTTACTCTGCAGATGAAATCTAAAAATCATAGCTTAAGGTTTCCCAAGATGTGAAATTGGAAAAACCTGCCTTACAATATTGGTTGAAAAGAAAATTCAGTTCATGGCAGGTGGCCCTTTTTTATTTCATGCTGAGAAAGAAATAACTATGTGTTCTTCTGCGAGAACAACTGCACAACAGATAGAGACACAAGCCACACAAAGAGGTCAGGTATGGGGACCCATGTAACTTGATCCAAACAACCTTCACACAACAGCACACCTACATAGGGCAAAAACAAGCACATTATCGCACAAAAATGGATGTGATCTTGGAGACCTCTGAAAGCTCAAGATCACAAAGATTCAATACCAACCTTTTCCCAATTCCCCTGCCACTTTCTGCTGGTCTTTGACCCCAAGTGGACGGAGCATGCAGCAGTTTTTAAAAAAGAAAAAGGGTGGCAAAAAAAAAAAAAATAAAAAAAACATAATAGTGATCACACTTGACTACACACATGTAAGCAAACTCCAAGTCTACAAAAAAACAGGGAGAGATAAATGAGATAATGGAATGATTAATGTAACATGAGAATCCCAAACACTGCACTTACATTACAACCAATACCATTCCAACATCCATATTTGCAGATGAGAACACTTACCTTTCCAGTGTAGAAAACAGTCCTGTCAATGCATTTCCTGACCCAAAGTCCTAGGTACTTACCTTACAAGCTGGGGTACAGACTAATTCCTTATGCTTCTCCTATTCTCAAAAGAATGCTTACCTTTAAAATTAGGAAATGGGGTCGCCTTATCCCGGCCACTCTTGTTTGGAAGCGTCAAACTTGACAGACTGAAGCTACTACTATGACTTTTATACAGATTACCTGGAAAAGGAGACAAGGGTTATGCCTCGGCACAGGCTGCGTTATTAAAATTCAAATTACAACAAGAACCCTGTTCTTAGTGTTGGATAGAGTAAGGAAAAGTAAAGTTCCATACAATCTATAAAAGCCAAGCTCATATTGGAATAAAACTGATTATGCAGTCAAGGGGCTACAGTAGGTTAAAATGCCTTGCAGCTTTATAAAATGTTATTTAATGTAATTGCCATACCTGTGGGCCATTTGCAGCACCCTCAAAGTCTGTCTGAAAAACTCCCACTGTTAGCATTCCTCGTTTCTGCCTTGGTGCTAGGACACCTCATGCATGGAGTGCTTGCTCCCAGCAAGAGAGAGAGGGCTGTGCATGTGCAGGTTTTAAATAAGGGAGAGCACTTGTTCCTGTTATTTTATTTAATCAAATATGTCTTAGATTTTTTTTTTTTTTTTTTTTAGATCTTCCACAGTTATACAGAGAAAAGACATGCAATTTGGATTTTATCATTTCTGCAGGAGAAACGAAAAAAAAAGAAAAAAAAAAAAAAAAAAAACTTACTGGCAAAGGACATGATGCCCCCAAAGCCCTCATTATTGCTGCTATTGTTGGAAACTGTTGAGGTGGGGGAGCTTCCTCGAGAATCTGTTTCCGCATCAGAATCGCTGGCCAGCTTCAGGCTATTAGGGCGAAGCAAAGGCTTCTGAGATCTAACACATAAAACACAGAGTACTAAATAAATGAAGCACAAAAGGAAAAAAAAAAAAACCTTGAGTAATCCGTTTCATAAAAACGGATTGGGGTGGTAAACAAAACCCAGGTTACATTGTACAAGAATTTGCTAAAGCCCAGTGTTCCTTATGGGACTACGGTGAATGATGAGCCCAGAAAGAAAACTTATTTGAAAAAAAAATTGTGACCTGTGGTTGGCCACTCTGGGCTTAGCCCCAACCTTGCTTATATTACATAGATCACTATCTTAAAAGGCGAACTGCATGGTATGTTCTCAACTTGAAGTTTTCCGGCCTACCTGTAACTACTGATGGAAAACGTATGATCGTCCTTCATAGGTTAGAGGTGGAGCGCTCAGTACACAGAAAGACATTGAGTATTATTTGCTAAGCTCCTAGATTGTAAGCTCCAAGGATCAGGCCCTCCTATCCCTCTTGTATTGAACTGTATTGTCTCCTGTTATATTAATAATAAAGCGTGCAAAATGAGCAAACTTCTGTTCCAAGTTGGCGCTACATAAATCCTGTTTCTAATAATAATAATATTACAGCTGAAGTGTGCAAATTTCAGGCTCACTTCTGCATTAGCTTCCAAGTTTGTATTGACAAAGCCTAATTGAACAAGCTGATGTTGGACACCGATTGGTTTCTATGCAGATGTGAGCCCGATTCTCCAGCTTTAGTAAATAAAACCCCTTTGGGTTTGTCATAGAGCCCTCCAGCGCTGCATTGTCATTAGCTCTATATGTGGTCCCTGGCTCTATCACCTTCACCAAGTCCTTCACCAAGTTCCTTCCGGGTTTTGTATCTTTGGCCACTTGATTGGCCAGGCCAAGGTGTCATCACTCTAATGCATGCACATGGAAGTCACATCATTGTGGCAGACAGAGAAGGCGGTAAATGTGGTCTAAGCTGCGCATCGTTAGCTCAAATCACATTAACCGCTGACAGGCATGGGGGACATTTATACCAATAGAGACATAGAGACATCTAGGTAGGGTGTCTCTAGCCTGTCATTCGCAATAGTGAAAAAAAAAATATAGATATAGTGGCTCTCACCGGGTGCCATTAACAGTCTGGTTAAACATGGGTGTATAGCTCTCTTCCCGTTCTTCATTTTCCTCCTCTGGTGGAAATCCATACTGGGGCTCAAAATAGGGATTGTCATACTCGCGCCTTCGTGCCTCACCCCCACCAACAGATGCTTCACTCTCACGGCGTTCCATTGCTAGGCGGTTAAATGTGGGTGGCAGGGTGGGTAAGTGATTGTGCAGCACACCCAAAACCTTCTCTTCCGGCTCGGCAGAATCAGCAGATTCTTGCTGAAAGGAAGAAATTAAAGACTTAATTTGTGCTATCATTCACAACACAAAATATTTATTAAGAGAAGATAAACTGAAACAAACACTGACAAGATAAAAATTACAGTACAACAAGCTTTCTTCCATTACATATACACAGCTGTCAAGTTACATTTGATAAAATCTAGAATTGTTGAAAAGCAATAAGCATAAATTACATAAAAAATATTATGTACCAAAGCACAGGAGCCAAAGTAATACGAAGAAAAGAAAGCTCCCATATCATACACTGGGAGAAATAGAAAAAGGGATTGCATTCACGGCAACAGACACTAAATATCTAACCACAATAAGGCCACCCCAGAAGTCAAACTCTGATCCAGTCACATAATTAAAAAAACAAACATTATCTCAAGTCTTGACTTCTAAGACTTCTAAATAGTTCAGCTAAAATGATGAAACTATGAAAAATAAAAAGTCCAGTGCCATAACAAACTCAATGCAGCTTAAAGACAAGATGTCTAAGCTCACCGTGTTGGCTCCATGGATGACAGTACTTGGACTGCTGCTGGCGGTGGTGCTGGAGCCTGACCGTGCCTGGTTGTTATCAGGTGAGTTCTCACTGTCAGGAGCAGTTTCCTCCACATCTCCGGAGTACTCCTGAAAGTCATCAAACTCCACCTCACTGGCATCCCCCAGGGCAGCATGTGTCAGTGGATCCACATCTATGAAGAACACAAAAGAGCCACAATCTTCATAAGCCTACATCCAAAACTTTTATGTACAATGAAGAGGACCATTAAGTAACTTAAGCTACTAAAAGCAACTGATCATATTTAGGGTCCATCCACACTGGGTTTAAAAGAAAAAAAAAAAAAAAAAGCCAGTTCTCATATCGAGCACTTCTGTACACACACTTAGCTTTTTTTCTGCCAGAAAACTCCTCTTGAAAACGCAAACCAGAAGGTCTACTTACCTGCTTTGTGCAATGGTTTTGCACAGAGCAGCCCCGATTCGCCTCTCCTCAGGTCCCACGCTTGCGCACCTGGCTCCTCCTCGTCAGCGGGTGCACCCATATGAATCGGTTTCCTATGGGGGCACGTCTGCAAGCTCGCTCCTGAGCCCCTATGTCTGCGTCCATATACACAGACAGCGGGACTCAACCCCGCCCCCTTGTCATAGAACATGCGGCAGGCATTCTGACACTGGGGGGGGGGGGGGGGGTGTCAGGACTAACTTGGTGTCACTGACATCCCCAGTGACACCAATACAGTGATCAGTGCTAAAAAAAAACAGCACTGACTGCACTGACACTAGGCAGGAAGGGATTAATGCGTGGGGTGATCAAAGGGTTAACTGTGTGTAGGGAGCATTTTACTAAAGGGCGGGGGTGTGTGTGCTTCACTGTAAGTACACTGCTCAGGATGGCTGTGCACAGCCATCCCGAGCAGTGTGCCCGAGCTGACAGAGAGGAAGACTGTCTGTAAACAAAACAGTCTTCCCTCCCGTCGGTGATGGTCGGTAATCACCGTCCAGGACCCGGTGCTTGACATCTGTGGCCGCAAATGGCGGCACGGGTAGTGCCCACACCCCCTACCCGGAAATGCAAAATCAAGTATATATATACACACACTTGATTTTGAGCACCTGTGCTGCCATGTAGCAGTATATCACCTATACGGCGGCGGATAAACGGTTAAGGCAGTGTGCATGGACCCTTAAAGTGTCATCATGATAGTCAGAAAAAAAAAAGATCTAGGTTAGTGCTTAATAATCAAAGGCACTTAAGTTACTAAACAGAAATCAGAATACTCACTAGGTGTGTCACCGTTGATGTCACACTTCATCATTTCACTGACAAAGTCACCAAGTGAAGAATAAGAAGAGCTGGAGTCGTCATATTCCACACTGTCGCTGCCACTGCAAAACAGTATTGTTAGTAAAACTAAAGTATTGCAAAATCAAAGCAAAATAGACAAATGACAGTTCCTTGGTATGAACACCGCCACTGCACTGAGCAGCAAAGTAAGACGCCTCATATCTTTCTACCTTTGGTCCTATGAGGGAAGTCTGGGAATATTATACTCTTTTTTTTCAAATAGATACTTTTTACTTCACTTATAAAAGTAACTGTTTCAGTAATACCAATAAAATTAGGAAAACATTATAATGACACTTTGCATTACATTCCCTTTAAGACAAAGAATAGACAAAACAAAAAAATGACAATCACAAAGGAGAGAAGGCAAAATGAAGCAAACCTGTCATCAGTGGGCTCTGAGTCACTATCCCTCTCTATAGGGACACTGAGTGCTTCTGCCAGCTGGGAGTTTGCATCATACACACGATAATGGATGGGCTGCAGCTGGTGGGCATACCACTTTGGCTTATCTCCAATTGAAGCTGGGTCAAACATATCTGCAGAAAAGGAGATACAATGAGAAAGAGAGACTAATCGGAAAAAGGGGAAAGCAGGTGGAAAATCAGCTGACAGCAGAGCTAAAAGGCGCTTACTGTTGTGTATCCTTTGAAAGGCAAAATTAGTGGGGTTGAGAGACCATTCTCCAAAAAACTCCACAGCCTGCGTTTTGGCCAGCTTCTCAGAAAAGGGGGTAGCCTTGGGACGTGATGCAAGGAAGGAAGAGGACTGGAAAGCCACTACAGGCCGGGGGAACAGACGCAAAGTGCGAGTATGCAGCTGGAAACCATGCAACATGTTTGGAGAATTGAAGAATCGGACCATGGCAACCCTACCATCAAATAGAAAAAAAAAGGAGAGGATTAGAATGACTACATATATACAGTTATACATAACAGATACATTTAAAGGCCAACTAGAGTTTTTTTTTTTTTTAAGTGTATTTGATTCAAATAGTCTGTAAATGAGAAAGAAAAGAGCATACACTGGTGCCAAACTCTAAAAGGTTTTTTGTTTTTGGTTTGCTTAAATGTAATGCAATTTTATATTTATTTATTTAACTGCAACACCCCCCCCCCCCCCCCCACCCCCCTGTAGACTACCCCAGTCTTCTTAATAAAATAAAAGTGCAGCGCTAGAAAATATATAATTGTGACACAATATATGAAAAGTAATCAAAGAAAGTCCCAACAACGGTGACCCTATGGGTAACAATTCACATTCCCTTGGTCTAACCAGAAGTGCACATTCCACCAAAAAGTGCAATGTACGATATCTGGGAGAAAAAGTGTAGCAGTGCACTGGCTCTTTTCCTGTCCGATTCGGATTGGGCGATCAGTGTTTGAGGACAGCTGAATTGTCCACTGCTATCTCCATCATGATCGGTATTGCATTGCCCAAATATGGCCAGTGACCATTGGTCATGGAGATAACATGGTCTGGAGGATAACACTGGGAAACACTAAAAAAAATTGGACAGAAACTGAGTGGGTGCAGCTGCTAGTATGTGGATGCATTACTCAAACACTGAACAATCTGCATGCTGGTCCTCAAAGACAGTGCCCCCTTCTATGATTGTCTGAAATCTGGTGGATGCATACAGAGAGAAAGAGCCAGTGCTGGAGTGTGAAACAGTGGGGAGCACTTTTTCTCCCAGATATCGTTTGTGCATGGTGGAGGAGCAGTGCTCTTTTGGTGGAGCAGCGATCGTTTTCTATCATCTAGTGGATTTCTTCTGCCCAGCTCTGTACCATCGTGTGGACCTTCACTGACCAAGGGAATCTATCTACCCTTCCCATGCTGATGACTACTCTATGAACTCCATCTTTTCTACAATGCACTTTTAATGTGCACTTCTGGTTAGTGTGCATTGTTACCCTAGGTCACCGTTGTTGGGACTTTCTTTGATTACTTTCATATATTGTCACAATTATATATTTTCTAGCGCTGCACTTTTATTTTCATGTGAGGATTATTTTGGTTTTCCTGTGTGCTTTAGGTGCTTGTACATTGAAAGCGCTCACTTATTATTCTTGGTTTTATACCCCAGTCTTCTGTCTATCCAGCGCTGTACCCAGCTGCAAGTCTTTTCTCCTCTCTGTGCTCACAGGCTTTGCAGAAATCAGGGGGAGACAAGTCACAGTGTGTGCTATGGAGGCATACACAGTAGAAGAGGAGGAGTAGACAGAGCCAGTGGGGCACCCCAGAAGAGGTGGTAAGCAGTCGCTCAGTGCAATACCATTGTACAGAGAAGGCAAGAATAAACCACTTTATTTTAATTAAACAAATGAAAAACAGAAGAAAAAAAAAAGAAGGATTACAATCCTTTTAAAAGAGAAGAGTGAGTTTTTTTTAAATAATCATACATTAGATTTGCCCTAATACAAAAAGCCTCATCAGGTTATATTAAAATTTAAAAGCCTTAATTCACTGTAATATATATTTATATAATGTGTGTGTACGCTTTTTTTTTGTGCAATTAACTGGCTTTAAATTTACAGAGATCAGATTATTAAAAGATGATTGGTATGAATTACAACAAACTACAAACGGCTTTGTCTTATTAAATAAGCCTCATTTTCTATTAAATATTCTCAGAGGCTAATCGTGGATATTTAGTTTCTCATCAAAACTTTGTCTTTTAATTTGAGATTCAAAAAACTCTACTGGGAGCTCCGTGTATGTCATTAAAGAGACTGTGGCAGTAATCACTCCAAGGAGTATAAGTGCAATCAGCTACCCTGATTGCACAGCATATTAGAACACTTACAGCTCTAATTAAAGAAACTCAGTTATAAATAACATTAAAGTGGAGCTCCAGCCATTATTTGTTTTTGCACTGGATAGAGCGAGGAAGGCTTAGAACTTCCAAAGCCTTTACTGCAATCTGTGTCCTTGTTAGGAAGAAAATCCCCCTACTCCCTATTGTGATCATGCGTGTCATGAGGACAGAAAGTGAGATAATGTCTTTGAGGATGAAAAAAAGCAAGAAAAATAGAATTTTGACTTGCTTATAAATTCTTAATCTTGGAGTATTTTAGAGGACACCGGACCAGAATTAATATACCAATTGGACAATGGCAAAAACATTTACCCCTAGAGCACACCCATAAAACCCTGCCTACTTTGTGAAGCTCCAGTTTGTTTTGTGTTTGTTTTTTTTTTTGTTTTTTCGAGTTATCAAGACAGAGGGAAGAGGGACTCGTGTAATGTATTTCAAGATAAGGAATTTACAGGCAAGTCAAAATTCCTATTATCCTAATCATACCGTATAGGACCAGTATTTATAGTCCTTAGGACGTAACTAAGCAATAAAATGGAGAAGTGGGCAAGAACTTAACAAAATTGTCAACAGGTCCACAACAAAAACAAGAGTTTAAAAGGAACCTGAATAAATACTCGGATAACAGCTTGAAGTACTGTGCAGCCAAAGATTGCATCAGCTGAGGCCTGAACAGGGGCGGACTGACCATTTGGAAACTCGGGCACCGCCCGAGGGCCCGGGGTCAGTAGGGTGCCCCATGAGATGCCCGTCACCTTTTTCATAGGCTTTTTTGAGTTTGGGCAAGGACAGAGGGGCCCCATGATCCCCTATAGCCCGGGGGCCCCATGAGTTTTCAGTCCGCCCCTGGGCCTGAACATCCATCTGAACGTGTGAACAGAGGACAAGGTTGTGTCCTTGCAAATCCCGGTGGGGCAGTTTCCCTGTCATGTGTTGAGGCAGGACATAGGGAAGGTAGGACAATGCCCTCATTGAGGTGAAAAGAGTAGACCAAACCAACTTAGGTGAAAACAGCGGTTTTAGTCTCAAATCCACCTGGTCTTTGTGCAAGACACAGGACATTGAAATTGTGGGAGATATGCACATTTTCCTGCAAAAAAAAAAAAAAAAAAAAAAAAAAAAAAGAAGTCCTAATAAGGGACTGCAAGACAGAGATAGAATGCACGTTTCTGCCCATGAGAATATTGAAATGGTCTCTTTCAGGGCTACTAGGCTTCTGGTACCCTTTGATGGTTTATGTAGGCCACTGTGCTGCAGCAATGTCTGATTGTACTCTGGATCGCCCTTTTAGAAGGTCACCCAGTCAAAGTCTGATGGGAAGTTGCGACTCCGATCATGTCCGCTGAACAATCAGGAAGTTGTAAACTCCACCTCAGTCTGTAAAGCTCACATCTGTCTCTACCACATTCCAATTCCTGTGAAGGAAAGACTTTCCCAATCCCAGGGCAAGATTGGAGAGTCACCATTGTTGAGATCTTCACTTGACTGGACAGAAGCTCTGGACGTTATATGGATTGATCTGCTTGCTTCACAGCTTTAGGATGCTGGATCAAATGGGTCAGGGGTGAAATTGGACAAAGGGAACTGCTTGAGACGAGGTCACCATGAGGCTCAGAATCCTCATGCAGAAGCGAAATAGGAATAGCGGTGGGCCCTAAGGGTCCAAGAGCTAAGCATTAGGGAGGCAATTGTCTCCCAAGAGAATACGATTCTGGCTTGGGCTTTGCACAAGTTTGGACCCAAGTACTACAGTCCAGCACTGGGTGGATGCCCCTATTTGGTTTTGGGATTGTGAACCGGTTTAAATAGAAACATTGAAATCATTCTTCTGGAGGAACTGGTACAACCACTCCTTGTGCCTGAAGTTGGTGCAAGGTGGTCAAAAAATCTGTCTTACTTGGGCCTGAAGCTGGCAAATTTAAACGTTAACAGCAAGGAGGGGTCAGAGATTGTGAAGGGGGCTTCTGGGACAGCTTGTTGGACCTGGGTTTGCGACAATAAGGTGTTTGTTAAGCCTTAGTTTTAAGGTTGACAGATAGAATGAAAGGATCCCTTTATTTGAGTAGAGGTGGAAACTGGAAAAGTGCGACAGAATTGTGCGCATTTGCACATACAGTGCTCAGCATGAGTACACACCTTTTGAAAAGTAAGATTTTAATCAATATCTGAATGAAAACAAGAAAACTGTCAACATTTTGGAAAATGGAGTTTTATAGAACATTTGTTTAGCTCATTACATGAAAATAAGGTTAAGAATATGTTAGACTCAAGAACACACAGCGCTCATTTACGCACCTGTGTGTACAAGCACTTTGTAAACAATGGGCTGCACTTTAGATCAGTTAAATAAAAATGCTGTACTGAGCTATTTCAAGCTGCAGTGTTCAAGAGATCTAAAGAAAATCAGACAAAAACATCCGCATTCTGAACCTTCATTCATTTTTCTGTTTGTTGGTATAATGCTTTTGAGATCCGATATAGACTGTCCAGGTGACAATTTCCGAAGGGACAAATTTTTCTCAGTTATCAGAAAAACTGATCTGCGTTTAATTAGTACAGTAAAAAAAAAATTTAATGAGCAAGACTGCGCATGATGAGAAACAAAGTATGACCTCGAAGACGATGGCAACGAAATTAGTTTTTCTTAAATATAAAAGAATTACTGTATACAGGATAACAGGTTTTTTTTTTTTTTTTTTTTTAAGGAGAACTCCAAGTATAACAACTGAAATAGATATTGCATCACATCTGGAATGTAGTCCCCTGTAGCAATCTGATCGTATACACACTCCCCAAAAAAATTAAAGGAACGCTTTTTAAACACCTCCCGCCGCCATATAAGGAAATGACGAACGGGCAGTGGTTGTCTTGTTCTGGGAGAAAATCATATGACGTCCTACCGACCTCACTGCGTGTGCGCGCACCCGGGGCACGCAGCGCGGCACGTGGTTGGGCACAGATCACCGATCAGCGGAAAAAGCCGATGACTTCAGCTCTGTCATGTGATCAGCTGTATCCAATCACAGCTGATCGCATGTAAATAAGGAAAT